GGCGGCTTCCTCACGGTTCCCCTTTCCCTGCAGCCCCCGAGGCGCGCCAGGGCACAGATTCGGAATGGAGCCCATCCGGAGAAGGCTGCGCTCCGGACCCCAAAGACGTCGTGTTCCAGTCGCCGCGAGCCATCCTTGCTGTAAAGAGCCTCCCCCGGGGGTTGGCCCTGGGCCCCTCATTCGTGGAGGAACAGCGCTTGGGGGTCTGGTGTGTCGGGGAGCCCCTGCAGCCAGGGCTGCTCTGGGGGCCGCTGGAAGAGGAGTCGGTCTCGGAGAAGGGTGAGAGAGTGGAACCACCGCAGGAAGAGGTACTGAGGGAGAGGTGTCTGCTCTGTGACCGAAAATTTGGGGAAGTTCAGGTATTTCTGAGCAGCTGTCCAGTTTGTTGGAGGAAATGGGATATTTCACCGGATAGGAAATGATTGCCTCTCATTTCTCCAGGACTCTTTCTTCCCCCCAGCTGCAGTAGAATGGACATGCAGAAAGTTAAAATCTGGATTAGTATAATGCCAGCAGTGACAGAGGTGGTGTTCTGGGAATTAAAAAGGCTTGGGATTGAATCCTAGCCTTAACACATAGCTAGTTAGGTTATTAATACATGCTCATTTAACTCGCCTGTGCAATACAGCAGTGGCTGTTTCTGGGTTATTTGGAGAACTAGAGGAAAAAATGTACGTAAAGGGTTTTATTACACAATAAGTAGTGTAAAAAATGTTGATGTTCCTCTTTACTGTGTCTGTGTAGTACTCACTGCAGACAATAAGGTGATCACGTTAGTAATTCTCCGCTCTCCTGAGAGGGAGGTAAGAGAACATTCTTTTTGGTCTTTACTGAGTGAAGAATCAGGCAGCACTGTCATGTAGTGGCAGAACCAGAGGCCACTAACCTTCTAGGAAGTTCAACTTCAATTTGTCTCAGGAGATATGTCATCCAGTTTTGTTCCCTACCTGATGCTCTCAGACACCTGTGGAAGACTTTTTATTGGTTTCTTTCAGGACCTGGCATTAGGCCTAGGGGGAGACGTGTGTGCCTGTGAGCAGAGTGCAAGCTGGACCAGGTAAGTTACAGGAGATTACAAACTGAATATGTATCTGTTGTGCCTTGGAGTGGAACCTGAAGCCCACTGTCATTCTCCACCCAGTTATCTTTTGCAGTGAGTGTTTGTTCTAGTCTGTTCTGTTACTCATACCAGAAATACTGAGTCTGGGTAATTTAAGAGAATAAAGGAATTTAATTTATGGTTTTGGAGGTTGAGAAGCCCGAGAGCATGGTGCTGGCATCTGGTGAGGGGTTTCTGGCTGCGTTACAACATGGTGCAGGGCAGGAAAGCTCGCAGAGCACACCATGGATCTCTTGTC